CTCTGGTTTTGAGAATTCTCACGTAAATTGTGTTGCGAAACTCTAAGATGGCATGGGACTTATTTGAACCCTTTTCGGTATTCGGTTTTGGAATAAGGGTGGATGTGCAGGTGGCACACAGGGAGGTTGCTTACCCCTGGCAGACCGTTTCCTTGGGGCAGACCATGGATGCCACTACTTGGGTATATAACTCCGGACGTGGGCATCCTTGGTAGTTACGGTTGGTAATACTTGAATATTTGACCAAGGGAGGGTATCAAATTAACCGTTGCCATGCTTGGTAGTTGGTAAGTTAAATCTCTTCGGTGAAATTTCGAGTATTACCTAATTTATTAAAATTATTGAAATTATTTTAATGGTTGTAATTTATGTTTATAATTATATTGTTATCTCATGTTTATAATCTCATTGTTTTTTCTCTTAAAAAGAATGGTAGGTTGGTTATGTTTTCTTACTGTGTTGCAAAACTCATGGCATATATTTTTATTGCCTTGGCATTTTATGCTAGGCTTTGGCGAGGAAATAATTGAAGCTGAAATGAAGTTATAGCGATCCCGGTTTTTGACCCGGCTTTTATGGCATTCTGGACTCGGGTCTTGTGGTTTAATGTTATTGTTTATGTCTTTTCCTGTTCTTACCCTTTGAATTTGGGTTTTTGGATGTCTTGGGTGTGTTTAGAACAGGTTGGTTGTTACTTGGTCTAGAACATTATTGTCCAGAATTTTGGTCTTCCGCTCAAGTGGGCCTTCTTGAGCTTGAGCAGGGTTTGCACTCATTCAGTACTTTGTGTGCCTGTAAAGAAATACTGCAGGAATATTTTTCACGCTCAAGCTGAGTTTCTTACGCTCAAGCGGCCCCTCTGGCGCTCAAGCGACTGGCTGAAGTCTGTAAAATACTGGACGAGTGTATTCTACGCTCGAGCGGGTCTCATTGCGCTCGAGCGGGTAATGCCTTACTGTTGTGTCTTGGCGCTTAAGCGGGCTTTATCGCGCTCGAGCGGGTCGAATTTATGTATCTGACGCTTGAGTGTCAAACTCTCTGCTCAAGCAGACTTTGCGTATATCAGATCGCCAAAGTGACTTTTTAAATCACTTTTTCTGTCCTTTCTCTCTCTAAAACTTTCCAAAACCCTAAGTTGAGAGCCTCTCTCTCTAAAATACTCTCTCTCTCACTACATTTTGACCTAGATCTAGTAATCTCTTCAACCTCTTTCCTTTGATAAAAAGATTGAGCTCTTCAAGATCTCCATTTTCAACCAAGTAAAAGTTAGTTTCATCACTTTCGAAGTTTATCTCGTGCTTGGCTCTTCTCCTTTGAGCTTCTCCATTTGAGGTAGGGATAATCTACTCTTTAAGATGAGTTTTGACATAAATATGGGTCATTTTGTATAAATGGTGGGATTTGGAAATTTTGGGTAAAGTTCGGGTTGAGTTTGAAATTATAAAAGAGGGGTTTCCTAATGTTGGGTTCCATATGTAGGCGGGGTCTTGAAAATGGGGTTGTTTGTGTGTAATGGATGAAATTTGGCCTTGGGGGTAATATTTGAGAAAATGGGGAGAATGCCCTAATTTGAATTATATACATTATTTGTGTAAATAATGAAATCAATTGTGGAAATATGAAATTGGTCTGGGAATTATGAAACTGGGGAAAAATGTGATTAAATGGTGTAGTTGGATTGATAAATCACTCACATATGGAAAAGTTGATAAATTATCTATTTGATAGATTTATTTATCTGTTTAGAAATATCTGTTTTGGGCTATCGGTGGAGGATGGACATGATTGTTGTAGAAATTGCATGATGATTAGGTAAATTGAAACTAATCAATTGGATTATGTCATTGAATATGACGGTTGGATTAACACATTGAATATGTGATTTAATTGGTCATTGTATATGACAATGTGTTTAAATACATTGCATATGTATCTTTGTTTGGGAGGAGATAGGGGATGTACTCCACTGTTTGAGAGGAGATAGAGGATGGACTCCATTGATAATTAAGTTGGCTGGAGTGTCCAGGGTGAAAATCACGAAATCTTATATACATTTGAAGGATGTTGATGATTGAAGTGTTGATAATATGAGTTGTAGTCTCATTTTGAATTGTCTAGATAAAAATGAATCATGTTAATGAATTGATTTGGATAAATAAATGAAAGTGGATTGAAATATGGATGTCAATGTTGATTGGTTATGAAAAGAGTGTAAGTTGGTTTTCAAGTGTTAAACATTTATCGGATGCTAATGTTTTAGTTAATTCTCATATACTGTTTAGCATATCTCTACTGGACATTGGCTCACCCTACTTGGGATGCCATTTTTCAGGTACAGGTGATATGCCGCCTCCAAGGTCTTAGCTTGAGAGGTTTGGGAGTTGAAGGCTCCGTTTTGTTGTTCTTATTTTGTGTTAAATGTAAAATCCAAACCACGAGCTTTATATGTAAAGGAGTTAGAACTCTTCTTTTGTTATAACCAAATGATGACTTGGAAAGCTGTAAGCCCGTAAGGCATTTGTTTGTTGCTAACATGCAATATGTTTTGTAAAGAAGACTCTGATGAATGAAAATATAACTTTTCTATTATGGTTAAGGACCTTATGAATGATTGTTTCATGATTTATTTTGAGGGCGTTACATTAGTAGCTGATCCAAACTAACATATCAACTTTATGGATAATTGACCCTCCATCCTTGTATGGCCGAATGAAATAGCCACTTGGAAGCATTTCAGCTCTCACAAACTAAGCAGCAGCAGCTGCATTTGGGCTAGCACCAGAACCTGACAGAGGTCTCTCATAGACCTTGAAAGATTGATGACAAAAAAGAACAAAGATCAAATTTTTGCATCACCAACTGTTCCAAAAGCATAAGTTTTAGAAAATAGGTGGAACAATGTATTCAGTTAAGTCCAAAAAAATTTAAATAAACAAGGCCACATGACTCACATCATCAAAAAGAGTTAATAGGTGTATCAACACATTGCTGATAAAAAAAAAAAAGGTGTATCAACACATATATCATCTCCATTTGGAAAGAAGTTTAAATGAATTGTAAAATTCATTCAGAAGAAATACAAGGAATTTAAAGGAAGTAAATGAGTCATATATATATATATATATACGTGCACACTCGAATTTAAAATATACTCATGAGAAAGATTCTCTATCTCTTCATCGAGCTTCCTAGTGTTCAAAGTAGTGCTGCTCGAGGTAGTTTTGTTTCATCTCGCGTTTGTTGTTTCAGCTTTGTTTCACGATATGCATCAATTCACAGCTTGATACACAAATAATTTATATGAATATATATATCTACAACAGTTTTTTGTTGAGAGCAAATTCAATCTCCATTTGGTTTGACAAACAAAAAATAAATAAATAAATTGATCTCAACTGGACAACTGGAAGGATAGCAACTAAATACAAAAAAAGATACATGATGGAAGCCCAAAGAATAACAAGAAATAACACAAGTTTTCCTAAAGATACATGATGTAATGTCCATGTACACACAAAATTATACCTTTCCAGTCTTTCTAATTGTCAGAATGAGTTCAAGTTGTTTTTGCTGCTGCTCCTACACAAAAGACTCCAATTAACAAATAACAAGTCAAATTGATAATAGCATTTTAGCATGCATCCAGTTCTTCTATGTCTAAAAACCAATCCATGAGTCTGAAAGATATGATATACATGATTCACACTACTAAACTTTTGGACAAATTCTGGTAATATTTCAGACCAACCTCCAAACAATGATACAATACAAATAGTATTTGGCACTGACAGAACTTGACAATAGGGTGAGATTCAAGAAACAATTGTGTTAAGTGCATATGGAGAACAAACTTTTATTTGTTCAAGTTTTGCTTGAGAAAACATGGTCGTCTGATCTAGGCATCTTTAAATGAAGCCTGAGACTGTTTATTATGGTGAACATATACATCCCAAAAGAATAACAATAAATCAAGCTTCTATTGCTTGGTACACATGCACGACTCATATCCTTGATACCAAAAGTGTACACACATGCATGTGCACAAGCACACCAAACCACCAAAGAGAAAAAAGCATAAATAATACAAGATAGGAGAGGATGATGACATATCACACTCTGATTGTTTCGTGTGTGTGCATGAACCCTTATCCTTGTCCAACTTTTGGCTAAAAATTGGAATTGTTTCTGAGAAACATCAACTAATCCATCTACAAAACCTATAAAAAATACCTGAAAAATAATCATTGACATACTTTTTTCTTAACTCACATCTAGGCATGACCTAAATGATGTAGTGAAAAGCAATCTGGTACTTATCTACAATGGGAAAAAGGATATTGGGTGCCAATTATATGTGGATTTGGATGCATGACAATAATTTATGGTGGAGCAGACATATTTTAATGAGACTGATTGTTTATAAACGTGCTTGCAATTGCAATCACTCAATGCTCTTGGGCTGTTGGAGATCACCAAACAGGAATTACTGGAATCAAGGGTCAGTGTTAATTGCTTCATGATTCATTTTGTTACTTTTTGCTTCAGGTTCTCTTCTGGTTCAGGTTCAGGTTCTCTTGAAACTGTTGCTTCAGATTCTCTTCTTGCACACTGCATATATAAAAACAACTTTGCCTAGAGCCATGGATTTTAATGTGAGTTGCAGGATGCAGTAAAGGGTATGGGACTGTGGCATATGAGGTTGTGTTTTGGAGGGAGATATTATATGTTTTAGAGTAGGGGCGATGATAGGTGTTGAACGGTATCCAATCGAATACCTTAACTTTGTTTCTCTTATATGTAGGTAATATATATGTTAACCAATCAACTCCTCAGAATTTGAGCACCAGCTCACATATTTTGAATAACCATTCACAATGTCATAACGTATAAAAGAAAAGAATGCAAACAACAACAAAAATATAAATACATAAACAAATAGATAACGAAAGAAAATTTGACAAAATTGCAGAAAACTATGAATTCCACTTTGTGCTGTCATTCACTGCTTTCCAAACATTTTTAACAGAACATGGTATGTGAAATTGATTTCAGATGATAATATTTCATGAATTTAATTGGGTGTACCTCCTTGAAAGCAGAAATGCATTGGTGAAGAGCACTCTCAGCCTCTAGAGTAGGTGAATGCTCACCCTGTTTTATAAGAAAATCATAAAAATAATTTAGCCAATCATAACGTTTTAGAACCCTTATATTATTCAGAGGACTAATCAATAAAGAAGTTTCCAGAGTTGACACAATTGTGTGTGTACGGGGAGGAAATAATTCTCCTCGTATAATCCTGTTGACCAAGTCCACGCTCCCCCGTACGACGTCGCTTTGTCACCTGAAAACACAAACGTGAGCTAGCCGGCGGGTGTGTGCCGGAAACCTCTCCGATGCCTAAGTCAGAAAACTTGACAAATAGACAATGCTCTAGGTTCTCAGAAAGAATTATGTTCAATTACCTCCTCCAAGGTGATGCTTGTGAGCTTTTATAAGTTTCCCATGGCACAATCCTAGTAGGACTTGTATTTCTCCATGCAGAGTCCTCCTAGGATTCATACTCCTAAGGATAATGCTTATCCTTTTACACCCTCCCCCACTGCTTAAACCAAGTGGGATGGTTTTCTCTATGGCCGAATTTCCATGTGACCGAAGTAAAATTGGCTATGCCGAGCCACAGAGGGCCGAACTGCCCTTAACTCGGTCTTCTCCTCTAACTCCTTACCCTGGCCGCCCCTGTTCAACCTATAGTGTGTTTGGACCGAACCAATAACTCGACCGGTATAACTCCCAAACCGGAATACCTGTAGGGTTGATATAACTCCAAGGCCGGTCTAACTTCAAGTTGCTCCTAGACCGAAGTACATTTACAATCCTCTGACCGAAGTAAACTTTATCATCTGTGAGCCGAAGTAATTTCACCTCCTTGGGCCGGAGTAACTTTGTTTCCTCAAGGCCGGAGTAACCTTGCCCTCCTGGGCTGAAGTATCCATTACGGCCTTTTTACTTAGTCCTTCGCGTTTTTGGGCCTCAAAGCCCAACTCGCAGCTCGGCCCCATTTTTCTCAAAAATTACCCTCTCAATTGCCCCTTAATTCCATCTGCTCAACATGATTGGGATTATCAGTCTACTAGCCGAGCTTGAGTTTATTACGCCTTTCCAGCCGAGCTAAAAACCCTTTAGCCTCTCCAGCCAAGCAAAAAAACCCTCGGGCTCTCAAACCGAGCTAGTTTTGCTTCGGGCTTCACTATGTCCGGTCAAAACGTCTCTTCAATCACAATGTCTGCAACGCTTCCCATTCCAGTGACACGTGGTAGGCACGCCGTCTTCGTGCTTCGTGAATTTGAAACAGTTCCCGCTTTTTCCTTTCCTCATCCCTCTCTCATATTTCACAAAACACCCCTTCCTTACTGAATCACTCACTTGTATTCACATACCCTACCTTCTCTCTCTGTCTTCATTTCTTTTGCTTCCAAATCTATGCTCTTCATCGCTGCTACTGCTCCATCTTCAGCTTCTTGTTCTTCAATCTGGTAAGTAAGCCTACCCTTCTTGCTCTTTTTTATTTGCTTTACCATCCGTTCCTGTTTTGTATGCTTTTTGCAAACATTTTTCTCCATTTATCTGCTTTGCTTTTGTACTTTTTATGAAGAAACCAGTAGAACCCCATGTATGTATGAACTATTATGTAGAAAACCTGTCTTAGATCCAAAATCATATAGCAACCGGACTAGGATACTGTTTGTCTAATATTGGTAGATCACTTCAGCCAATAACCGAACTAGAACTTGTAGGAATATCAGTAGTTTCTTCTCAACCACTCTAGCCAAGATAAGATCACCGAACAAACGTGCACATACCGAGCTAATCTTTCGGGGCCAAGCCGGCTTTCTTAGTTCCTAAACCGAACTTAGAAAACCGCCCCTAGGGGCTCAACCGAAATAACTTTCCTCACACTGCAACCGATTTAGGCCTTGGGACTAAACCAGCTTCCTTAGTTTTTTAGACCGAACTCAGAAAGCTGCCCCTAGACGTTAAACCGGTCTACCGAGCAACCTGCCCAAACCGAGCTTCCAAACCTTTCGATGAACCGAGATAGAACCAGCTTTTTGAGGCCGAAGTAGGGCTCTTATACCTTGCTTTTAAATTGTAGCACGGTCCATTGATCAGTGCTTTAACCCCCTCTGTTTTTTACTTTGCAGACTTAGGTTACCCAGGCACTCCTGCGTGCGCTCAACCGAGCTACTGAGCACGATTTTTGCACCGAAATAACTTATCCGTAATTTATACAACAAATGGGTAAGTATAGGTATTTAGTCGAAACCCCTGGTGGCATGGCCGAATTCAGGAAGGACTATGATATATCGGATGACGTTCATTTGACTTTAGCAAAAAATGACGTCATTCCATGGGACAACGAAGGTTTCGTTCCTTTTACTCTTCAATCCATAATTGAGACCGGACTACGGTTTCCTGTACAACCGTTGATCTGTGAGTTCCTTAGACAAACTAGGTTATGCCCCACCCAACTGTCCACCAATACATACCGTATTATTATGGGAATAGCCGCACTAAACCACCAAACCGGTTTAAATCTTGGCCTCGCCGAAATATTCCATCAATATTCCATCGGCTCGAAAGATGCTGGATGGGTCTATTACCTTAGGATCCATCGCCACCGAGAGAAGATTGTTAAGCACACCCCGGACAAAGACCTTAATGACGATGACTTCTTCTGGGTCTTTGGGAATTTTGAGGATTTTCAAGCCCCAATTCCTAGCCGTCCTATAAATTGGAAAATGGGAGAGCCTGGTAATTTAACTTCGGTCTTGTTCCCTGTATGTTATCTCGGTTTTTTAATCTACTGACCGAACTAACACTTCTTCTTTTTTGCAGATTTCGCCCACCTCCATTCCCTCTATAGCTATCCCAACCTTGCGGTTTTGCGAGCCGCACTACGGATTAAAGAAAGAAGTTGGGCTAAGCTTCTGAACTTCGAGCCGACCTACCGGTACAGCGGTCGCCGAAAAGCAAGGGTAACCGATTTCCTTCTTGAGGAAGAACCAGAGTCGGACCCAACTTTGCCCGAAATAAGACTTGTTCCCTTAACTGCTGAGGAAGAAATGGCAAAGAAAAGCAGGGTTAGGGCCCTTCTGACCGCAACAACCAGAGCCGAAGTACCACCAACTATTGAGGCGCAGCCTGCCGTTGTGGCCCTCCCTTCTCAACGGCCTTCTTTGTCTCGCCCTTTCAAACGCGCCCGATCTACATCGACCGAACAGCAACTTGTCGATGAGGTTGAATCCATCCCCCAAAGTCCTCAACCTTCCCCCCAACCGGAGCAAACTGACCGAGCTGAATCTCCGAAGTGGGCTCCGCCGCTGACCTTCAACGACCGAGACATCAAAGCTACTGACTCGGTCGTGGCTGAAAAAGATCACCAATTGGCTTTTAATCTGGCCAAAAGTGTGTGCCTCCCCAAGGACATGGAGCACCACTTAAAGCAATTGAACACCGAAATGAAGTCAATTCGGTCTGCATCCAAGTCCATGATTTTGGTAAGTAGCTCTGTCTGTTTTTTCTGTCTAAATTTTTCCAACTTTTACTTCGGCTGAGAAGAAATCTTTGTTTTGCCAGGCCTTGCAAAAGAACAATATCACTTATAGGAAAGTCCAAGAACTCCGCAAGACCACAAGGCAAGCGATGGCGGAAGCCGAAGCAAAGGCGGCCGAACTAGTGGAGGCCGAAAGGAGAATGACCGAGCTTCAAGCGGAGAACGGCCGACTTGCCGAGCTGGTTAACTCGGCTAAAGCGGAGAAGCAAAAAGCGGTCATTGTAATGAAAGACAAATATCTGCGTGAGCTGCTGAAGCTTGAGAAGAGAAAAGACGCCGAAATAAACGAACTGAAAAAGAACATGGAGGCGGCCGAAAAGGAGGGGTACAAGCGAGGTTTCAAGGAGGCAGAGGAGGCCTATGCCAAACAATGCGACGCCGCCAAGGAGCTGTTCTTCAAGTGCGGCTGGAGGGCGGCCGTTGAGAAGCTCGGTCTCGATCCACAGACCGAGGTTTTCAACCCTCCAGGAGAAGCTCGGTCATGATCCTCAGACCGAGGTTTTCGACCCTCCAGCCTACTTTATACCGAACTCCCTGATGGAATACGCCAATGCGATGCAGCAGCAATTCCTTGAGGACTCAGGCTCAGATGAAGACTCTGCCCCTGAGGATACCCCGGTTGTGAATGTAGACAAGGTAGTTCGGTCGGAGCCCATGGTGGAAGATCTAACTGTTGATCAACCAAGTGAAACCGTGGTTCCGGCCGAAACCACTCTTCCGACTGAAAACGTCCTTGCGCTTGAAACCGGTCTTCAGGTTGATGCCGATATTGCCTTTGACGCCGAAATCGAAGATCTTTTTTCTTGATTTTTTCCTTGTTGTTCTTTGCCGTTGTAACCGGACTATGAATCTTTGTAATGACTTTTCTTTGAATGAAAATTTTACGCAACTCTTACTCCGGTTTTGATGTGTATGCTTGCACTTGTAATGTCTTCTATTACACCAACTTCTATTTCGGTTCTGGCTTTTTAAACTTTGCTTACCAGCTAACCACTCCTTAGCCGATATAATCACTTCGGCTCGATATGCTTACTTCGGCTAAGGAGTACAACGTGTTTGGTTTATTCCAGCCAACCACTCTTCAGCCATACACGTACTTCGGCTGAAGAGTAACAAGTGTTGGGTTATTCCAGCAAACCACTCTTCAGCCATACACTTACTTCGGCTGAAGAGTATCAAGTGTTCGTTTATTCCAGCCAACCACTCTTCAGCCTTGTACTTACTTCGGCTGAAGAGTAACAAGAGTTGGTTTATTCCAGCCAACCACTCTTCAGCCATACACTTAGTTCGGCTGAAGAGTATCAAGAGTTGGTTTATTCCAGCCAACCACTCTTCAGCCATACACTTACTTCGGCTGAAGAGTATCAAGTGTTGATTTATTCCAGCCAACTATTGAAGTTAGTTTTTTCAGCCAACTTATAGTATTTGGTTATTCCGACCAAATGTCCTGCAGCCTGGATCCTTATCCTGGGCTTAGGAAGAGTGTTGGTTTAATCCAGCCAACCTCTAAGTTAGTTTTTCCAGCTAACTTAGA